TCTCCGCTTTCCCTTTGTGCTTATCATTTTGGTTAATTACTGGAAGATGGCGGTTCCGGCCAAAAAAAGCCCTTCTATATTTCTTTACCTGTCAAGATCTTGAGCAAGTTCACATGTGTGCTTAGCATGTTTTTCAAGCTGCTGGGGCTGAGATTCCAGCTGTAAGGTTTACTCTGTGGATCTGGCTCCCTTAACCTTAGAGCCAGCCCAGGTTAAAAATATATTCAATAAGGCAAGAAATTTTATTCATTAAATATTAGAATGTCTTGCATTCATTATACGTAATTCAGAATACTCACTGTCCATGTCAACATGACCATTTCTTAATTCACACCCATCTCAAAATTGCTACAGATGAGAATCAAAGGATTTTATATCCAATAGGTAAATAATTAAAATAAGTTTGACCAAGGAATGAATGTTTGTAGAGTAACTAATGGGTAGAGTTTCTATTATCAGTAAGTGGTAAAAGTATTATTACAGAATAGATATATTTTCTAAAAAACCTTTTCGAAAGGAAGTTGTACCTGCCCATTGTACCCAGATGTAATTTCTAAGTTATTTTTCTTATGCTGCTAGAGATATTAAAACAGAAGTAAAGGTAAGTGAGCAGCCATTAGCTCTCGCTGTGGAAAGACAGTTGCTCATTCATTCTCTCAGCAGATGTCTTTTCTGCTCCATGCTCAGCCTTAGGATACCAAGATGAAAAACAACTATTACCCAGCATTATAGAAACATGTGTAGGGCCATCTGGTGTCATGGTGGTTAAGGCGGCAGGATCCCTTATGACCGACTATCCAGTTCAAGTCCTAGACCCAGGAGCTTGAAAAGTCTGCCTTGTGCATGTGTGCCCGGAATCCAGAGCGGAGAATGAAGAAGGAATTGTAGCATGGTCAGCCTCCTGAGGGGGTGATTTCTGACTATCCCTTTCTCCCCTTTTCTCTCTTTTTCCCTCTGTCTCTCTCTGGAGAGTGCAAGCACGCTGTAGCAAAAAAAAAAAAAAAAAAAAAAAAAAAAAAAAAAAAAAAACTAAAAAAAAGAAGAAAAAGAACACATGTAGACGGATAGTGTAGATGGCTCATCTCAGTAACATAGCTCAGGGTACCCAGAAGTGTTCTGAGGAGCACCAAGGAGGCGCAGTGGCAGTTCTACGAGAGGGGTGGTGAGATAAAACTTCAGGGAAACGTTAATAATTTAAATTGAAGGATGTGTGGGAAGTTGCCCAGCCGTTAAATGTAACAGACTTTTCCTTGGGATACTTGTAAAAGTACAGAACATTTTTGCAGAACTTGATTTCTTAGGTGCATGGTGGGAAGACACGGCTGCAGAGTGGGTGAGACCAGATGGCGGAACTTCAGATGTCATACTAAGGAAGTGTCTTTATTCTGCAGACACCAGAAAAGGAGTTTAGATGGGGGAGTGACATGATCATTCCGTCCATTTTAGAAAAATGACTGGTGGCAGCGGAAGATAGGTTAAGAGAAAGTTGGAAGGGTGACAGGCAAGGCAGTCGGGGACATATCCATGCTTTAAGGGAAGACGGGAAGGGCCTGCGCTAGGACAGCACTAGAGGACATGGAAGGGTGAGAAGACACCGCAGAGACCTTTCAGAGGAGAATTAGTAGGACCTGACTGAATCCAGAGAGAAGAAAGTAAGGTGCTAATGTTTGGGGGAGATTATCTCATTAATAATCAGAGCAACACAGGAGCTCACTGGTGGAAGAAAGCAGTGAAATGGGTTTTAAACAAGTTCCTACAGTTGAGCTAAGTGAAGGTGGCCAGGGAGCTGTTGAAGATACGGGGTTAAGGATGCTTAGGGAAGGTCAGAGCCATCAAGGTCAGCAGACAGTAAAAGGCAACAGTCTGAGAGATACAAGAGGAAGGCCAGACAGTTACCCTAAAGACAGTAAATGCAACCAGTGAGGAAGGAGTGCAAACCAGAGGCACATTCTTCCAGGAGAAATTTGCAGGTTCTGCAAAAAGGATGGGAGTCCTTGGTATATAGCTGTTTAAGCAATGGTGCCCTTTGGGGGAGCATGAGAGGTGGTGGGCAGCAGCCAGGCTGCACTGCAGTGGGGGGACAGCGGAGGCCCAAGACTCACACCCACCACTCACTGCAGGCAGCTATGTGGCAGAGGCACCCAGCCTTGCCTCGTGGGGCTGCGAGAGGTGGATGGTGAGGGCAGCACACACTCTGCATCCGTTTTTGCTCAGTGCTGTACCCCCAGAAGCAGGCAGCAGAAGAATCAATTCTTTGTCCTTCACATTCACAGAAGACTCTTAGGCTGGCAGGAGTTTGGTTCAGATTTCCTGTTCTTCTGTATTTGTCTTGGTGAATTTCTGAAGGCTTTGAGTTTATGTAACAGGATACCCAGACCTACAGGAAAAAGAGGTATGTAGAAGTTATTCAAAGCCTGGCTGTTCTTGCCAGAGCTTATCCAAACAGTCCTATGAAGCTGCCTTCAAAGCCTCCTGTTCAGTCATATTTGTGAAGCAGTTTAAGGACTGATGGGATTTAAGGTTCTGAGGTGTCGGTTCTTCTAAATGATGTCAGTATTTTAAGCTTTGTGATTATTTAATGCATAGAGATATATTAGTGGGGGAGGGGGATTCTACACACAGAAAAGTCTCCCCCCCAATAGAAAATTTTTTTTCTACTATTGATTGGATTTTCTAAAGTGACTGCAAAGACCTCACACACTTCTAGCGAGCCATGTTGGCATCCACCTGGGATAACTCAGATTCCAATCAGTCTGTCAACCTCTGCTCAGCCTGCTCCACCCACTAGGGTTTTTTGGGCATGTTATTTTTGGGGTATTTATAGAAAGAAATGAAGTCTGGCACTGAATTTGCCTTTCTACTTAGCACCTAAATTTCCATACCTGCCTTATTTTCTCAAGATCCCACATGTTTCCTAGGATCAGGAGGGAAGAGAGGATTTTTTTCCCCTTTCTGAGGAGTTAAGGAGAAAATAGATGATTGGAAATTGAATGTATCGAGCTCCTTTGATGCACGATGCTGTAAGGGCATCCATATATATTATTGATCTTTGAAACCTTGTAGCATAATTAGGCATTTCCTTTTCCCCATCTTTGTGGCCAGAGTTGGCTCTTCTATTAAGTAATGCTATTACTTTTGTGCCTGACTTGTTTTGTCCCCTAATTTTCAGTGGGTAGGAGCCAAACAGCATGAATTGCAAGTCAACTCGATGCAGCTGCTGTACTACCAGGCTCCGATGTCGTCCGCCATGTTGCTGATCGCTGTGCCCTTCTTTGAGCCAGTGTTTGGAGAAGGAGGAATATTTGGTCCCTGGTCACTTTCTGCTTTGGTAAGTTCTGATTGTTTTGGTGTCTAAGAAACAGATAATAATAATGCAGAGCACTATCTAAGGTCCATTTTCACGTTCAGTCCTTATAGTCACCCTGTAAGGAAGGCACTGTAAAGCTTATTTTTCAGATGAGAAACTGAGGCTCAGAAAGGTAAGGACCTTCCTAGGGTCAGATAGCTAGTCACTGGCCAACAAGGCCTACAGTTTAGGTCTTCAGATGCCTGGTTACTGTTCTGATGATGTCAAACTTTAGCCCACATAGTTTGAGTATTTTATTTTAAATTTTTATAAAGATTTATTTATTATTATTATTAATATTATTTTTCACATGAGTTTTGCCAGAGAAAGACAGAGAGAGAGGGAGAGTGAGAAAGCAAGCTGCCAGGTCCAGGACTCAAACCATGGCCAGCCATGTGGGAATTCCAACACCTTAACCACCTTGCCACCTGCTGGCCCTTATTTTAATTTTTTTAGTAATGAAAATATAAACTTTACTGGTTTAGTTTTAATAAAAAATAGTATATGTTTATTTTATAGATTGTGACCATATATAATAATATAAAGACAGCAAAAACCCCTGAATCTTAACCATACTAAAGTAGTCAGTCACCTTTACCACTTTGGTGAAGATCATTTCATGGATCTCTTTTGTATGTACACAGAGACACATAGATATGTGTGTATATGATTTTATATGATAAAATCACTTCATATATGCTTCTTTTATCATGGATTCCTCTTCCCCAGCCTTACTGCCCATACACACTTTAGCATCCCATTACCCCATCCATGCCCCTTGAAATCAATCATGTTAATGTTCTAGTGTTTGGTGGGCCACCAGGTAGCATGGTGGTTGGGTCACTGGACTCTCACATGGTCAACTGTTGTTGGAGTCCCAGACTTGACAGCTTGCTTTCTCTCTCTCTCTCTCTGGCTCTCTCTGGTGAGCACACATGCCCTAGAGCAAATTTAAATATAATAATAATAAATAAGATGAAATAAATAATTCTTTTTTAAAATTCTAGTGTTTGTTTTTCCATATTTTCCTCTGTACTGAACACACACACAGGGCCAGCAGGAGGCGTAGTGGTTAAGGCGCTTGACTCTCTCATGGCCGACTACAGATCATGTCTCGTACCTGGAGGCTTGAAACTCATGCTGGGTGTGTATGCATGCATGCCAAGACCCCGAGAAGAGAATGGAAGAGAAGGGATTGTGGCATGGCCGTCCCCCAGGAGGTGATTTCTCACTTTCTATCTCTCTGTCTCTCCAGCAAGTGTATACACTCTATAGCAAAAAATCTCAATAAATAAATACATAAATAAATACACACATGCACACACGCACACATGCACACACACATATATGAAGCATCTCAGCTTTTCTCAACACAAAAGTGTTTTGAGGAACTCCTTTTACATACTATCTGCCAGTGAGGAAAGATTTATATTAAATTCTAAATAAAGGTAAACACCTAGGAACTGACTCCAACTGGGTTATGCTGGAAAGATTCTGCCCAGAGACAAAGTACAATAAAGCATTACCTTTGTAATATGAAAAATAAATAACATTGTAAAAAATTGTATGTTGGTGATTTTTTTAAAGAGGTTTTTGCTATAGGGCGCGTGTGCTTGCCAAACAGACAGAGACAGAGAGACAGAAAGCGAGAAATCACCCCCCATGGGGGCTGGCCACGCCGCAGTCCCTTCTCCTCCATTCTCCTCTCGGGATCTTGGGCGCACACGCACCCGGCGTGAGTTTTAAGCCACCGGGTTCGGGATGCGAACCGCGGTTGACTACATTGGAGTCCAGCGACATAGCCATTACACCAACTGCTCGTCCCAGCGATTTGTTTTTTAAGTTTCTCTTAGTTGAGTATTTAACAGAATCACCAAACTACTCTGGTCCTCTTAACTGCACTAATTTAAAAACACATAAAACCTACAAGAAACAGGAAGTAGCTTCAAATGTAACATATTTTCTTTGGAACTGAAACTTTTTAATTATTCAAATCATAACCAGTATTTTATTTAAATCCTCTTGAGAAATAGAAAGTGATATCTGATTTTTAAAAACGTTTTTATTTATTTATGTTTTTTAATTTAACCAGAGAAAGAGAGCTAGAAAGCGAGAAATCACCTCCCAGAAAGGATGGCCATGCCACAAAGGAATTCCACAAGGGAATGAGAGAAAGAGAGGAACTGTAAGAAAGCAAGACTCCCAAGTCTGGGATTTGAACTACAGTTGGCCATGTAGGAGTTCAATGCCTTACCCGTTACACCACCTGCCAGTCTGATTTCTGATGGTTTCAGCGGAATGCACATGTATACAGTGGAGTAGCCATCAGTCCTTTGTCCTTAGCCAAGTGGGTCTACTCTCTGTCCTGTGAACACACCTGGTGCTTTCATGCTTCCACCCTTTGACCTGTGCTATTCTCTCTGCTTAGAACCCCTCTAACTCTTCTTTCTCTATTCGTATTTTGAGATCCAATGACTTTTCTTTCTTTCTTTTTTTTTTTTTGTGGAATTTTATTTATTTATTTTATTTCAATTTATTTATTTGCATTCATTCACTGTACATCATTACAGCATACAAAATGAGATTTTTCCATCCAGAGTACACTGTATATTGTCTCACTCAAGCACTTCAACAAACATGTTATTGTCAGCAAATGATCTTCCATTTCTTGTTTTCTGTATGTCTTGCTTCCCCCCCCCCATCCTTGATTCCCTATCTCTTACCCTCTGCCATTTCCCACTCTCCTCCCACACTGTCTCTGGTATCTTTGTTTGCTTTCTATACCGTTTCCCCCCCACATTTTATTGAATCACCAAAGACCCTAATCAATCCAAATACCCTCATAGCAAACACAGGTGACACACACATTTCCATGAACACAAGTCTAACTTTACGCATCCTATAAAGTAGCAGCTAGCTGGGGCTACATATCCTACTGCAGTCATTGAATAGATTTTTTTTTTTTTCCTGAAACTTTTTTTTTTGTAACTCAATTTACATTCCTTCCCTAAGCATCATCACAGCACACAAAATGCGATCTCCCATCCAGTACACACTGCATAGTGACTCAATCATGCACATTACAAAAAAATAAATTTCCAATTCTAGTTCCTAGAATTATTT